ATTATTGAAAACCTAGCTAATTAATAATTTAGTTTAAATAAGATCTGCTGATATTCTCTAGTAAGCTTCAGTACTTGTCAATATATTAGATTTAGTTTCAAGTATAATGAATTGTTCTTACGTCAAGTAAATTTGATAAGTAAGTTTTTTTTTTCACTTGTGTATTTCAATTTATTTGCATGTGTTACATTGTCTAAATATAGTATGAGATTATCGTTTTATAATTGTTAGATAGAATTGAATGAAATATTTCATCACTAGTTGTCCATTAACTGAATCTATCATTCAGCGGAAAATTAATGGAGTACTACTTAATATTTTTACATGTTTTGTTTTTTTTTATAGAAAACTGCACTTAAACTCAAATGTTTTTCATTATTTATGAAGTTTTCAACAGCTGAATTTGATAATCTAGTTGCACCGTTGCTTCGTCAAATGTTCTACTTCGAAAAACTTACCTTATCTTTGCGTATTACTAAGCGAATTTCATTCATTGATGGCATTTATCTGGATGACTATATACTCAGTCGAATGTCATATTTACATACATTTCATTTTGACATTGTAACCGAGTGTAGCACGTTTGATGAACAATTTACACTAACTCGTGATGAGATTCGACGGAGGTTCATTGAAAGACGACTTCAGGTTGACTGTTACATCGACTATCATTTTAATAAAGCAGATCGTATTCACGTTTATTCAATTCCATCCAATATGAAGCGTATACAATACATTACACTTTGTGTTTTTGGTGAGATGTTGGTAAATGTTAGGAGTCTGCGTGTGTGGGATCAATATCATTCTTTCGAACACGATTTCTTTGCTAAAATTTCAGGTTCATTTCCATTAATTATCCTCGATTATTGAATATCCTCATCTCGTCGAACTCGTCTTTTCAACTGTACACATCGATTATGTGGAAGAATTTCTTTCTAACTTGAATACACGTCTACCTTGTCTTAGTATGCTTTGTGTTAAATATGAACATTTAGTAACTGTCACAAGAAATTTTACAAGAGATACAACACGTATCAATTGTGCAAAATTGAAGCCAATTATTTTTGATGATAAGATGCCAATAGTATATTCGAGAGACTTTATTGTAAATATTGTTCTCTTTAACTGTAATTGTTAGACTTGTTTAATAACAATAAAATCAAATGGAACTATCTAACTTTGTGAAGAGATTGAGTGATTGCTGTCCTATTCACCGTGACTGTAAGATGACAAATCTAGTTTTATTGAATTGTTTTATATTTTGGATTTGTTTATTTATTTATTTTTTCTCATTTAATACTGTTTCAACCATAATAACAACGTCTGTCAGAGACGGATATAATACGTATATTTTAGGAAACCATTGTATTGAAAAAAAATTCCGATAATTTGGTAAAAACATTTGTCTTAAAGTGTTTCTATGAAACACTTTTAACATATTTATAAAATTACAAAACTTGTTTTCAAATCAAATTGTCTCGCGTAAAGAAATTTTTAAACGGTAAAGAATTTCTTGTTGATCTAATTGTCATTGTATAGTTTTGCTGCAGACTTTTATCGATTTGTGTAGATTATTTTCGTTATATTTGATGGTAGACATCATGTATTTTATTTTCTACTTCATATCTTTTCCCAAAAAGATATCAGAATTTGTTGTATAATAAAACAACGAAAGTATCGTTGGTTTTGGATTAAATACATTGTACAATTAAGCGTTGATTTTTTTTTGTGTACGTGGACTGTCACGCTTGCAGTTCCTTTTTTTTCTAATCTTCGAGTTGTGTACAAATGATTCTAAGTCATGTTTCTCTGTGTTAATTAATCATCTCATCTGTTTTATTTTGTAGTTTTCATTTATTTTCATGTTTATTCTTTGTCAAACAACTCGTTTCTCAGTCAATATTTCTTCAGAAGTTCAAATGTCTCGTATTGACACATGATTCATCTCTCGCGGCTAACAATGTGGCATGTGTTATTGTAAAACTTTTTGCTTCTCATTAGTTTTTTGTGATCGATAATATTATGATGAGTGGGACATTTTATCAGGAGGATATGAAGATATGTTGTAAAATGAATACCAGAGCCATAGAATTTTGTCACGTATGTTGCTTCTCGCCTCTATGCTTCCCATTCTCTACTATGTTGTACATTCCTTCTTTCTTTTTATTGTTCTCCCTACGTATTGATGATAGTCAGTAATGAGAGAATACAATCAAGTCAGCCATCTGATCTTTTTTCAAACTGAACAATAGTATAAAGGGTGTCTCAAAAGTCAGGATCATTTTAATGAATGTGTATAACTTCATTGCTGATCAATCTTAATTCAAAACGTTTTTTTTTTGTTTGAAAAAGAAGTGTGGTAAGTTTTTATTCTAATTTATAAAGTGAAACTTATTTTGAGTGTACTTTTGACTGTTGAAAAAACGCAAAATTCTGTGAGACCAATGTTGGAGCTTGCGAAAAGATTATTTTTTACACGAAAGAGAAATCCTTTTTTTGTTATTTAAATAAACTGCTTTTAGAATGTAGAGGGTGGGTGTGGGTGTGCGTATAGTTGAAAGCAATATACACACCCACACCCTATTCTTCAATTCTTGTAAATTCAGCAACGATCCCCAAATGAATTTCCATGGATTCAATTCGGATCAATTTTGATTTTCATGAAGCATTTTCATTTTTTATTTAGTTTGAAACAAAAAAAGTTAAGCCAAGTTTATCCTAATACCATTAGATGAATGGAGTGGTGTTGAATATATCTCTTCTTTTCCTATAGAGTGTCCAGTAAACCATGAAACAGACACACTAAAAATTGAATATCTTCATTATAGCTCGACCAAATGGGTTCATTTTTTTTACCAAGGATAGAGGCATGGTCACACTCCAAATTCATACGGACAAGGTCATTGAGAACCTTTGTTAAATACCACTATTGACCTCAACAAGAAAATTTTACTTGTTCACAAATAGGAAAAGAAAACAATATGCTCACCACAGGTTCTCACTAATCTCACTTATATGGATTAGGAGTGCAAACATGCCCCTATTTTTAGTAAGAAAATCAACTCATTTGCTCGCGCCGTAATGAAGATATTCAATTCTCTTTTCTGATAAAGTGACTTTTGCACTATCCTATATACTATTTTTTTCCTACCTGTAAACAAGTAAAATTTTCTCGTTGAGGCCAATAGTGGTATCTAACAAAGGTTCTCACTGACCTCTTCCGTATGAATTTAGAGTGTAAACATGCCTCCATCCTTAGTAAAAAAATGAGCCCGTTTGGTCGAGCCATAACAGAGATATTCAATTCTTAGTGTGTCTGTTTCATGACTTACCGGACACCCTATATTCATACTCACACCCACATCCCATACCATCAATCGGAAAAAAACATTTGAGTTCAATCAATTACACCATCTTGTATAAAAATTCCATAGAGCATCTTTTAGTAAAAAACTAAATTCAAAAAGTTAAAATGAAAAAAAATTAATAGCAAAAATACGGAGAAGTTCGTTTCTTCGAAGCATCCATTAAAAAAATGCAAACACACAATTTTATAATGCTTCTTTTTCAACTGATTTCTTCATCCGAAAGAAAAGTAAATATTTGATGAAAAAAATACATCAGTATGTACTTTAGACTATACCCTTTTTAATGGTGAATAATAACGCGTCTAGAGTATTTGTGAGCAGCATGAGAACGCAAATGAAATTAATCAAGAACTTTTACATCATTGGTTATATAGTATATATTTAAAAAGAGGCCGAATAGAATTATCGCCGAAACAAACATTGTTGATACAGATCATCGAAAGAAATTCGGCATCTTTCTTTTCATTAATGTATTTTTGTTTTGGCGATGTGGTACACAATCTTCTTGCACAAGAGTATGAAAGAATAGGAATGGTTTGTATACAAAATGCGTCATGTTATTACAGGTATGTCGGAAGCATTCATATAGTCAACTCGTTTAAATAACAGTGTATCGTTTATTTTATGTGATGAAAATTTTTTTTGACTATTATAAACTTTTCCGTGTATATTGTAGATATACTTTTCAAATATTGATTTTCTGTATACGAAGCGAACCGATTAAATGGTAGAACACACTAACACCAGTGAACTACGACAAGTGAAATCATGTGGATTTCTCGTAATGAAGCCTGATCAGAGTTTTTTGCTAATGAAACATCCACATTATTATGATTTACCAAAAGGACACATGGAAATTGGAGAAAGTGAACAACAAACAGCTTTACGAGGTAAAAAAAAATTGAATCAGTTATAAGATATTATCAATATAAGATTACCAAATCACGTGTAAAGTTTTCTATATCTCTAAATCTCTCATGTTTTCCTGATATAGTCAAATTCGACTGAAAATTTAGTTTCCATCTGAAAAACACAAGCAGACATAATCAATGAATGATTATGTAAATTATACCCGTTTTATTGAGACTGCAATGAAGTTCCTATATGTTTAACACAATAACTTTCAAGATGCCAAAATAGAATGTACAAAACTATTAAAATATTGATGGATATACAACCAGACTAGGATTTTTGTAGAAATGAGATCAACCTGTCCATGACAATTAAAAGATAAAAATGATATCAGAAGAAAATACATAAAAAAGATATAAGAATAAAATGATCCTTAAAAACAAATCCATGAATTCCATGCTGTTTAAATAAAGACTGTCTTATTAATATCAATTATCACTAAAATTTTTATACTATAAATTTAGAATTATGTGAAGAAACAGGAATCAAATCATCAGATATTGATGTCGATTCTAACTTTCGATTTGAATATGTAATTATTTTCATTATTCTTATAGTAGTCTTGAATATGTTCACTCAATTTGATTTTATAACACTTTAGATTTACTATCCGACATACGAACGCTTTGGAGGCGAACAAGTGAAGAAGACGCTCGTAGTATTTTTAGCAAGACTAAAATCAGATTCAACACAAGTAAGAAATAACTCACTTCTTATCACACATTTTAATAATTTTCCCTGCAGGTTATTCCTAGTGAGCATCACGATTTTCAATGGTTCACTTGGAGTTCTCCACCAATTCCTATACAAACACACACAATCGATCCGTTACTGGATAAAGTGTATGCACATCTAAACACATAATACTTTTAATGAAAACCTATGGTGATCATTCTTGCCTCGAAATCATTTATCTCTCTGCTTAATAAACTAAATTAAGTTGATATTGATATTTTAGGTAAAAAAACAACTTTTCTAAATGATAATCAAATAAAATTATAAAATTACGATAATGACCAAAGCTGATCAGTTTATATATTTTATCGATTTCGTATATATTCAAGAGTTACAACTATATAATTAGTTATATTGATATTTTTTGAATCGTTTATTGTTGAAAATTCCATTCACTGGATTAAGTAACAATATATTCAAAAAAATTTTTTTTCGCCGTTTTTCGAAGACTACGCATTCGATTTAGTGAAAATTTTTATATAAGAAAACTTGTATGTGACATCGTCTTATGTGAAAAAGCTAATCATCTCGACATTAAGATATAAAAATTTTATCGAGTAGTAACTCAATTTGTGAATAATTTGTTTTAATAAAATGAAATATTTTTTACCAAAAGACATACATTCGATATATTTGTAAATAATGAACTGAAAAGAAATGCGTATTTGATACAACATTTTTCTCTTAGACTTTCCTTTTCCTGTTACTTATTTCACTTCAGCCTTTTTGTTTGATATTGTGGTCACAAGTCTGCATCGTGCATGTGTGTGTGATGAGTCATCGTTCAGAATTAAATGTTCTACTTTACTATTTCTTTCCATCGAAGTTCTACAAAGATTCTCTAATGGACAACAGTGTCAAACCTAACACATATAAAACAACGTTCTGTAACCGAAAAACAGTAGCAGACAGCATATTCAGAGTATGAACACTAACTATGTGTTCCTCAGATAATTAATTAATCAAGCATAAAAATAAGTTACATTGACAAAAATGAAAAGTACAATAACCATCCATTATGAATATTGCCGTAACATAGAACGAGTTTTTCTCTAAATCACATCTCAAAACTTAACTTCCAAGATTAAAGCATACCTATGAATAATAATCATCGCTGAATGTTTATCACTACTCGTTAAGTTACAAAGTTATCAGAATACAAATAATTCTTAATTTTTCTAGAAATAGTATAATATTAATTTGATTGAGCATTGAATGTTGTTATATATTAATAAATTTATTTTTCAATTGTTCATAACCAATATTAGTTAACCAATGAACTCATCTATTTATAAATCTTCTATCACATAGATCATCCGATGAACATGAATATTCAATTGAACTAATTATAGAATCATTATATTTAGATAATAAAAACATTGTCTCAAAAGTCAATTTATTAATAGTATAATTTATATTTTGTTTGAATTGAATTGTAGCATCACCATCTGTTTCATCAGAATCAATTAATATTTTAGCATAACATAAATTATTTTTTATAGTTGAATCCATTGTTTTATTTGTTAACTTTTCTAATGTAAAAAATTCATTAGATGATAGAATATCGTTTCGTGAAATTTTAAATAAATCATTACTCATACAAATTAGACTATTAACATAATAAATGTTTAAAAAACTAATTAATAGAATAAAGATTATTTTTACCATCATTATATATATATATATATATTGTATATCAATTTATAACGAAGATTTTGTATTGTTTACGTTAATCGTTTGCTTCTTCCTTTGAATAAGAATAAAAACATCGAATGATTCTTTTTGTTTGTTATCAATGAAAAGAAAAAATGATTCTCTTATTCTTCTTCAATACACAAACTCGATATAGAAAAAGAGAAACTATCAAAGAAATATGTTTGAAAAAAAAAAGAAACTAGATGCAAGATAAGATAAACAGATATAAAATAAATGAGAACAAAAAAATAACTAAAGTGAAGTGTGTGAGAAATGAAACGACATCGGAATGTATTTGATCGTCGTGAAGAATTATATCAGAGATTCCACAGAATACAAAAATAACTCAAATGTGGTTATCAGAAGGTATCTAGAATTATCGTATATTTATGAGGAACGAATATTCGAGTGAAGATGTAACACTTTTTTTTATCCAGATCCACACTCATATACGCATGAACGAAAATTGCTAGGGCGATTCGAAATTGAAACTGATCATAATTTCATAAGTATCTTGAACATTGTCAAAAATCATTGTTAAGTCGAACAACTATCTTTCCTAATGATGATCCAATTCTGATTTTAACTTTTGGTGAACTCACTAATCATTGTGATGAAAATAAATAATATAATATAATTTAGCAGTAGAATATGATATCAAGCCGATGGACCTTTATGAAAAATATTCGTCTGATAATGTTTGCTAATTTGCAATAAAAAAAGAATTGTTGTATCTTATTAAAATAAGAAAGATCATGATTTAACAATTCAACATTATTATATAGCATTAGAATTAAAAAAGAAAACTTCATTGAATTCCTATTGATATAATTGGATTATACGAACTGATTAGTATTTGTTATTATAAAAAAGAAAGAGCACGATTTGTCGAGAGAGAATTTTCAAAAACCTTGTTTTAGATTTACAAAAAGAAATAGTTACATCCGATGTATTATCGATCATTGACTTATACAATTGTGTTGCATCGATTTCTGAATACTTTGAAATATTAAGAATAAATATTCAATGTAAATGAATAAGTCTCACTAAAATATTCTTCGATTATTTTTTGTCTTTTTCAAGTTGTTGTGAAGAAAAATCGTTTCTCTTATTATCTATGAAAAACTTGAACAATTGAAGTATCGTTTCAACGCTCGTTTCGCCATTTCGAAATATCATTTAGATTAAATTATCATTAAAACGATAAGTTGAGTCAATTTATATTTTGAGAATGTATTCAAAGTGCTCAATTTTCTTAAAGAAAAAAAGAACCGATTTGAAACACAAAGAGTGACTGTTTACGAGGCGAATTTTATAACACTATGATATAAACACCTAAGAAAATTTATAATTCTCATCATTCAAGATTTTCATGATTTATAAAATATATGATTATGTAGTTTGAAATGAGAAAACGATTGATCGGTTAACATAGTCCACTCATTAATTGTCTTTAACTAATAATTTATCTTATTTTAAAAAAATGATTTCACTAGAATAAAATTATTTGAGATGTACAAAAACAAAATTTTTTTGATGACATGTAAAGTTCGATTATGAATTTTTTGTTTTATTCTATTAAGTTTAACACAGGACAGATGATATATTTTCTAATAATAATTAACTTTTAATAAACAAAAAAAAGAAAGAAGTTTATAAATGTGTTTGTTACTATTTTCAAATTTCTTGTTGTTGAATGTTTATTGATTAATTAATAATTGAAGATATTGATGTTGTTCGACCATTTAATTGTGGATATGTTCGAAAAATAACAACTACTGCTGAGTTTGGCATTGTTTGATGAATATTTTGATTTGTAATTGATGCTGATATATACAAATATTTCGAAGATTTAACTATGAATATTTGAGCAAGGGAATCAAATCAAGAAAAATCTGATGAAACAAATCAAATTGAATGAGTTTATTTATTTGATACAGATAATGAATAATGAAATGAAGATTAAATAATACATAATGAATTCGGATTTGATTGCAAATCAGAATATGTTAAATGACTTTTGTTTTCTTTGGAAATAATATTATTCTCAGATGATTCAATTTGACATTGAATTTCTCAATAATAACCATTTCAATCTTTTTTTTATTTCTTTGACACTGAATTTAGATTATAAATTTTTTTTTTCTTGATTTTTTTATAAAATCTGGCAACAATTCCAATGAATTATTTCTTATTCGTTCCTCTGCACTGAATTCTTCATTGGAATCCAAACATAATGATTTAATCATATACGTTGAAAGTGTATGACGAATTTGTCTTAGGAGTTGTTGAAGGTAATTTCGAAGAAGATGATAAAAGATCCGACTGTTTTTACCATGGAATTTGGATCCGACAAAGAATATGGGTGTGCATGTATTTGAATGAGATGCCCACATCTACAGAGAATTCAGAATGGCTAAATGAGCTGTTTTCGACTCTTCTTTGTTGAATATCTTCTAAAAATATCATGCATAAGAGCTGAGAATTTTTCTATAACCTCTTCAACAATACAACGATAACATATTCTGAAAAATTTTACAGGATTCAAATTCATTAGCTCAAGATCTATTTGTAAGGATGAGTGCCTTTAGTTTCCTGTTCGTACGTATTCACAAAAGAGATTTATTGACACTTTTTATATACGAACTTTTTCTTTACGTTAGTTATCGTTAACAACTTGACGTGCACTTTCTTTATGAACATCCTCGTTTGACATTGTAATTCCAAAAATATTCAATCGAAAACAAAAAAATCGAAATATTAATTAATAATTATAATTATTCTATACGATATTTTCAAGTTCAAAAACATTTTTTTTCTTCGCAGGAATAAAACACATGAGTTACCTGTTGAAAAAAGGTCAACCCTGTTTTTTGTCACGTGTTTCGTTCTTTTAAATAAAATATTTTTCGTTCTGCTATGTTTAGAAACATGAGGAGAGAAAAAAAAGCCATACGTTAATGTTCCATAGGCAAAATGCTAAACAGAATATCTATCTTTAATACGTTATCCATCATCGAATATCGAATAATTTGTCTTTAAAAATTGAAAATTCTCATATCTAATAATATTTGCTATAGTTTAGTATGCATTTGTAAATGTTGGTCTAATATATCTTTTTTATTCTTAATAATATATTTAATCTTAAGAGATATACATTAACAAGTAAGAGAATAATTCTTTTAGTGTTCGAGGACAAGAGTCAAATATGTATAATTTCTTCAGGTTGTTGACCTTCATTTTCAAGTTCTAACATACACTTGTTTAGATCCACCGAAAGTTTTTGAATTAATATATCAGCATTCATATAATATAGACGAGCAAGTCCATTTTCACCATTTTCACTACACATACAAGCTAGTTCAATGTAATTTTTGATTTGGATAAGTTGTTTCATAATAGCATCCATGTCTTGATAAACAGATATAGATGAAGAAGATTTCAGTTTCCGACAATGACTTTATATCTTATTTTACTCCTTGAGTAAGAAAAAATTGAACAAATATCGAATCGAAGTAATGTGGTGACAAGAAAAGTATGCCTTAACCTATACATTGCCAAGCTTTTATATACATCAGACAATTGTGATCATTGCTCACAAAATAACCATTTTACATTTCTATCTGACACATTTTTAAACCTAAGTTTACGTCTTGATGTCTACGTCTACCTTTCTCCAATGTGTTTCTTCCATGTTCGCCATCCACAATATGCAATAACAGACGCGTAAAAACAGCTATGTATCAAAAACATTTTTTCTCTTCCTTTCTACTTTCAGTTACGTCTACATTACATGTCGCATAGATTTATTCTTCACAACGTAAGTTTGTCTTGACAACTAAAAATAATGTAAGAAAGCAGTGATTCATCTTCACATCCAAAACTACTAAAAAAAAAGGTGAACAATATTTGCTGTCGAGCAAAGAACAATGAATAAATGTTCTCAAGCAAAATTATATACGGTATAGACGAAGTTTGTTAATTGTTGAAGAAATAAATTATCAAAACAACATATCGATAACAATGACATGTAGAACTTCTCAAGTTGGTTCTGAAGCTGGTCGGGTTCAGATCTGAAGACATTTTATTCCCTAGATGTACGTACGTCCGACCCAATGTGTCATACTTCAAAAACAATAGTCAATTATCACTTGATTGTTATAGGATTATCGTCAAAATTGTCTGAAATATGTGCAGATTGTGCTAGTTACAGAATAAAGATAATCAATAAACAGTATCCTGAATCTTCAGAGCGACCTAAGAATTTAGATTTAGAAAATTTTCTTTGAAATCAGGGATGCAATTCCGGTTCCCATTCCAATTGTTTTGAATCCGAAGATTCCTAATGACAAGGTAACTTCGTATATTTTACTAACTATCTTTCAATTGAAGACTTTTATTCCTGCTTGTCTTATTTTCTGTCATTCAAATGTACGCCAGTCTTCGTTCTTTTCTTTTCTTTTTCTTATATGACTAAAGAAAAGAGTCCAAAAATAGTAGAAAAAAAAACAACAAATTGTCAGTGTGTAATATTTATTTCTTTTCATACTGATTTTTCTTATAAGTGACTATGTAATAAATTTTAATTTCCTGTTACTTTTTATTTATAAATAATTATGTACTGATGATGTCAAAATTACAGTGAAAAGGCAAAGTAGACAAGAAGCAATTATTACCTTTAGTATATGATTATTAAAAAATCTTACTTTACATGTCTTATATCTAGACGTGCGTGTAACTTCTAAACAGTTTGAAATTAAATTAAAATGTGATGTATGTAGGTGAATGTGGACGTGAATCTTATCTAAACTAATAACCTTATCAAACTCACACCCATACCCCCACCATTAAGCAAATGTTTCCGCTTTCTATTGCATAGGTAGCGATCCAAGTACTTATCGGCACTATTGAAGAAAAAAAACATTGTCTCTTTGATTGCCATCAAAATACCTATTTGAACCTTGAAGCGCGTATAATCACTACTAGATGTTTACCGCTTGCACTCATACATTGTTCAAATGTTGAAGCCAACGAAGTAAATGCATTGTTTCTATTCAATTAAGTTATCTTTGTTAATATTCTTTGAAAAAACTATTACAGTTATATTTATCAACTTACATCTCTTTTTTACCTTGCTGACAATCGATGAATCCTTAATTATCATATTGCTATTATGCAGAAGCTGGGTAAAAGTTTTTTTTTGTCTCCTACTCTCAATAGTACACAAACTGACATTGTGTTGAAGTTGTCTATTCTATTGTTCACATGACTGCTGCTATTCGTGACTTTGGACTGTTCATCAATTATACAACATTGGATTTCGAGAATCAATATCCGACGACGAAGCGAAACATAGTTCAGCTGTTTTCTCTTTTTGTTTTCGTTGTTCATTGAATATATTGGATACAGTTGCTACTCAGTGTGCAATACATTTATTCTCACATAGTTTTATATAGAGTAATTACATGTACAATTAGTAACTTTTCTCTCATATCAAACCTACTTAATTAGGCATGATTAATTCGAAACTGAATGATTCACGAAAACGATAAGATTTGAAACAGAACTTCTCTCTTTCGACGATAAATCATATGTCAAAAAAGGAGATTTTTGTTTTCATTAATGAGTAAATTTCGAGAAATATAATTCGATGCTTGGTGAATTCTCTCTATGTTTTGGCTATCTCCTCAACTTGGCGTATAAAATTAAAGAGATCTATGAACAAAAAAAAGTTTTAAAGCATGATCGCTATGGAACTAAAGAGTAAGACACAATAGAGAGGTTTAAATCATACAAGAGACTTTTCGTCAAATTGCAGGTGTGAGTGTTGTACTTCTTACAATCACACTCATACCTACACCTCCACGAAAATCATTGGATCGGTCTATCCTCTCGTCCTTGTCGGACGTATTTTGACCGCCATAAATAAATTTACAATCACATTCGATTCAGTTTAAAAAGTCGTTTTTTTTTGAGTTTTCGGCTCCCAATTTTTAACATGAAAACAACATTACAAAAGATTAAAAACTATATATCCTTAATCCGAATGAAGAGCTCTATCAAATGATATATAAATGAAAGCATTTAAAATTTTGCTCGATTTTTTTCATTATTTTCATCTTATAATAAGAATAATGAATATTTTGACATATTCAATATAGAAAAAACAAAGAAAGTTATTAACATTAGATTATTAGCTTTCATCAGCAGTACCACCCATTTGTTTTGGTAATTGATCTGGTGAAATGTAATCCGTGATTGATTTAGTATCAGTGAATTTAATATATCGGTCAGCTTCATTTGACATCCAAGTACGAATTAACTTCCAAGCCGCTACGTGAAAATAATTTTTTCTTGGTAATCAATATTTGAAAAAATATTACCTGATAACAGAAATGGCATGTTGAACATAAGAAGATAGGCTACAATACATATATATATATATATTTACATATAAATCAAACGAATTTTCTACAAATATACCTAATAAACCAGGATAATAATTTTGCATACTAGCAATAATAAATTTAACTAGATCATAATCCTGAATATAAAAATGGTAAATTCATTAAATAAAAATTAAACTAAACAAAGAACATTATAATTTCATCAATCTTTCCTCAGCTGATTCGAACTTAGTTTATTTTCGAATTCAACCTATCCCTAATTGAATCCTTATTAATGCGGTGCGAAACACAACATTTTTGTAATGTTTCTCGAGTTTTCTTTATTTCGCACTAGACGTACACAAGCGACGTTGACTTTTTGTATCGAAATGATCTCGAGATCGGAACGGTGTCTGTGTGGGGTATGGATGTGGATGTGTGCTCTGGATGAACATACAACACACCCACTCGAATCCATCCCTACATTCTCCCCTCAAGATTTTCTTTCAAAGACCTTTGGTAGCTGTGATTTCAGCTGATTATAGATGATGAATAATTAAACGATCTCTTAAACATGTTTTTAAGAAATTGGTTGGTATAGATTGATAGAATCCTTATAACGATCAATGTCGTTGTAGAGTTCGAATAGAGAGCAGAAAATATTACCGGTCATTTTTCCAACATGTAAAAGACGTCTGTTCATTCAACTCACTATATTTAATGAAACATATAGATATTTCATAATAGAATTCATGCAATGATGAAAATTTGAGTATGCGAAATAGTATTTTTCGAAAATCGAGAACTCATGTACTCCGCAACGCATTTCATTTCATAGTCGAGTGAAGCTCAAATACCACCAAGCTTTTCAACTAATCCAAATAAACATAGTGAATAATATAGTTTGAATTTGTAGCTATGACTCATCCACACTCTACTTGAAAATATAGTTTCGAAAATATTCTGCAAAATCAAAACTTGCTTTCACATTTGACTATGTATTCTAAAATTCGATAATTCAACACATTCTGTGTAATTCGATTGATGTGTGTATTATAGAATAAAATATGAATTCAAAATGAAGATGTTCATCTCATGAGATGCAAATATCATATATTCTCGATTTTAACTGCTATTATTATCAATTTTAATTGAAAGATTAAATAGAAATCAAATTAGGAGTAGACTGAACTCTAAACTGACTCAAATCGATATGTGCTCCATGCACTAACAACGAAGATGTGACAGTCTGTTAAAGACAAGTTGGAAGTGAAACAATAGAACTTACCAAATTTCCAATGCCGGCTCCACTCATATCAAAAAGAACAACGATATGTTTACCAGGACTTTCTCGAATATGTTTTTCAAAATTGTATGTTATAAAACGCTTGATTGCTTCATTATCTTCATGTCCTTTCTTAAGATTACGAATAACAAAATGAACTAATAATCAAAAAATTAAAATATTAAATCAAATAAAAACTGTTGTCTTTACGTATAGGATGATTAAATTTATCATAATTTTTATAATAAATTATATTTCGATCGAAATACTCAGCTGGAAATGCACTTGTAGAGATATCTACAATCAAATTTTTATTGAAAGTTTTATTTAATTGAAGGTTTTTTTTTAAAATTTTTACCATAAACATTATGTTGTTTTCGCCAGCTCATTGATTGATCAAATATACGTAATGCTCGATCTTGATTAAAACTTGTAGCAAATTGACCATGTTGTATAAACATTAAAGTATATTCATCAATTTTATTAAAACGTTCAATATCTCTAGCATCATATATTTCACCTTCAGAAATTTGTTCTAAATAAAAATCATAATCAAACTAAGATATGAGAAAAAACAATGAAGTCTAATTACTTTCAAAATGTTTATTGATTAATTCACGAAATTCTTCTATCTGTCAAAATACAAATCAAAAATTAGTTCTTAATCTAATTCAAAATTTACTGTTATTAAAGTTTGAAATTGTGGTATTGATGATGCCATATATTTCAGCAAAAACAGATATAGCTATATTTAAAATGATATTTATTAATTTATTTGATAGGAGAGGGAAGAATAGTAAAAATAAAATCAAAGCATTTTACTCACAAATCTCAAACAAGAACGAACGTTATAGAATAGTTTATTGGCACAGAGTATGTTGCCTGACAAAAAAGAAAGAAAGCATAGCTGAAAAAACCAATTGGCTACATGATGCACTACTAGTGCCGACACCTGGTGCATATCGTCACATCAGAAGAAAAAAAAATATGATAGAAATACTATATAACAGGTGTTATACAATACTATGTATAGTTTTTTTAAAATGAGTTTCGCGGGCAAGGTGTCGCTACACTACGCCTATCGAAGTAGTTTCACGTTAATACAGTGAAACCTTTGTCATTATAATAAAGTGTGCACAAGTGTCCTTTTGAGGAATATATATGCCTGAAAAAAAAGAGTTAGAGTCCGTTTTTCGAAGATATTGTCATTATAAAAACATATTTTTTTAATAATAATTATGTATTTTGAAAGCCCGTGGAGTTTTCTAGTATCCTGTATATTTATATTTCAATTTATACAAATATATCACCAAAACAAAATTGGGTAGATCAGCTCCATCACATTCTTCTTGTGTCCTGTTACGCATTTGTTTGGTTTCAGTGATTTCACAGGATCATATTGTCATGAAGGAAATGTATTTTATGCTATTAAGGATGTGGATGTGGATGTGCAGGTGTGGGTGATGGAGTCTGGACGAAGCCTGAGACTAACACCTGTACACCATATTCACACCCCACACCCACATCTTGCATCACAAGGGCATGTTGAGTTGTTCTGAAAAGTTCTTAGAAAAGCGACAGAAAGGGTGTATGACGTATTGTTACTGTCCATTTTATTGGAAGTAATTAATACATCTCTAATATATCTATTTCTTATTAGTTTTCGGGCATAAATTCTGAAAACGTGAATGTTTTCTAAAGAGACAAAATGTTCTCTAGACTAGCTTAATCGATTTTGAGCACGATTCAGTTAACGACGTACAAGATATTACAATTTTTCACTTTTCTGAGTAGACTCTGCTCCTCGATTTTAACGATGGATTGCCTAATTGTTCACTTTCGATTCTTCAATGGCAACTTTTGAATAGAAAACAAATTACTTTGATAGTATCATTTTACTCAGTAATGCTTTTTGTATACAAAGCTTGACTTTGATAATGGTTATACAATTTCCGAAGCGTTTATTCTACTACTATTGTGATAAACTCCAGTGTCTCGTACATCTTTAGTTTTTTTTCGCCTCTTTAAATCGATTACAGTATGCCGAGAGAACATTTTTCGCTGAATATTGTCAAGAGTTTAATGATACACCTTTCGAAGCAATTTAAGTTCTTATCATTTTTCCGTGCAAATATGTTTGTTAACTTCAATATAATCTGACGTAAAAACCTTATATACACCTTTCTTTTCTGCTTTCTAAAATCCATCAGAGCAAATCCAAAGGATTTTTTTGAAAGCTTTGTTAGAAACCACTGAAACGGATTTAGAAAAAACTTCAAGATTTTACCATTTGTGCATGCGAAGATAGAATTGCATATCATTCGTCCATAGAGACTTTGTCCGCAGGCACTTTGTCGACAAATATATTGTCGACAGCACATTTTGTCGAATTCATTTTGCCAACACTTTTTAGTCGACGGAGATTTCGTCAACAACATACCCTCCAACCCTGATATCAGTTTCTCAATGCATGTTGCCTATGCAAGAGGGTATGTCAGGCTGGTTGTCTTATATTCGACGGGTGGGGATGCCAGTCTTGGTAGGCATGAGCCAGCGAGACTGAACATGAGTTACTTCGATTCATGTATACAGACAACTGAAGAGCATTGGATACCTGAAGACCACTATAGGCGCCTGAGAGTATGGGTGTGGGCGTGGGTATCGGTCTTGCTTTGACCCGCATTCATACCCGCACCCCACACAGCGCTACACCCACACTCTATTACGATGACTCTTTTTTCTCTATGCTATGGTGTCGAGTGTTGCGAAAAAGATTATTACTCAACGAGTCTGTATTTGAGTCTCGAACACCAATGAATCTAGTATCGTATATATATATCTTGAGTTGTTTGTTTGCTTTCTTTGCCACGTGTTCGTATGGCGCATTGTATGTTTGCGTGTATGTGCACATTCTTTTAAAAACATCAGTGATTAGAAGAAAAAGAACACAGTTAAGACAGGTTGTCGAAGCAACTGATAAAATAAAACACTTTTTTCATGACAACACTTTACATTTTCACATAAAGAATAAGTGACAAAACCTACATTTTTTTTATTCTTCAGTCGACTTCATATTATTGTACTCTGGTGAGTGAATCAAAATAATCATTTGAATGTTATGCAATCTAAAGATGTGATATGAATGTGTATACAACTGTATAATATCTAGGCGCATAAATATGAAGAAATAAGACAATTTGTTTGAAAAAAAAACTGTTATACTTAAGAAACGAAGATTTTTCCTGGTGATAAGAAAAGGATGTGGGCGTGGATATAAAAATCCCACCCACACCCTAACACTTTCAGTCGACAATTTAATCGCTGTCTATACCGATAATAAGATCACAATCTAACTTCATCTTCTATCGGTTCAGTGGTGTGAAAGCATTTGAACACTATGTGACTAGACGCTAACCTCATGAATATTAATCTCTTCTCGCTTCTCTACATCCTCGTTCTCTCTCTCTCTCTCTCTCGCATATAAACTCTCCAACTTGTCAATGTTGATTTTACTAAAATATACACTGCATTGGTAACACAATAGAACATCATCCATCCATCTTTTTGTGCCATTTTTCATAACACTGTCAATAAAGAAGATTGTTTTGAGAGCGTGCAAATAAACAAGGAATTTGTTTTTTGAATTTCTTCATATCGGGAATGTTGGCTTCAATTTTGAACACCGAATGTCACATTCTCATGTCGCACGTTTGTTCGTACTATCGTCGATACACCGCAGTAGCGCTTACGACTTTTAGTTCCACCTGTAAGCGATTAGAAAGAGTGTTTTCTGTCCAAAGTTGAGTGATTTATCAGACAAAGAATCAAATTAATAGAGAAGAAAACAGTTTCAGAATATGTTTTACTAATAAAAATTTTTGCATTGTCATTTATAATAAAAGTTTATCTCATAACCAGAGACAATTCGAGCACTGTACCTAGTACAGGTGACTCAAACGCATCGATGATATCAAAGTGATTCGACATCGATTCAATTCTGTTAGTTTTAAAAAATTTCAAAAGTATTCATCTGTTTTGATACAGTATTTTAAAAAAACACTAGTGGTAAACGGTCGGTAAAGGATGCATTATACGGATCAATATACTGCATCCTTACCGGCGGTAGTTTCTCCATAGTTATTACGCGGAATTCTCCTTCGTAATAGACATTGCTTCTTGGTAACAAAAGAAGTTTTTGTTTAGTTTATATTTATTTATTTTCTAAATCGTAGATTGAAAACGTTGTTCATAAGTCACGAATGTTTTCATTTCTCATGAAAAGCCCTGCTTATTTTCATTTACATAGTCCTATCCAAATCGAGAGTAGGTATAAAATATTCGAAAATGTATAGAACTACTATAATTATAGCTGAATTTTCTGAATATGAAAACAACTCTCTTCATACCGATGTCGAATAGGATATTCACTCAGAAGATATAGAGAAGCTAAGACGCCTATTTAGTAAGAACTAATATTGTGCAACTAAGGTCAACATTTTATATGATTATTATTGATCTCAATGTTCAGACAATATTAGCATATTGATAGATACTAAATATATATTGTAATGTGTAAGTTTTGTTTCGCAAAAATTTTTCAATCAAATCTAGTTGAATTAGATTCTTTTTTTTGTTTTATTGTTGTAGGAGTAATACAATCCAAGTAAATGCCTCAAAATAACACAAATCAACCAGGTATCTATAGATTATTTGTTCCGACACTGCAAATAATCTGTTTGACACTCAACTTCATTATTTATTTTAAAAAAATCAAATGAATACATTTTTCTTAGATTAAATAAAAATATAAATGCTAGTATTAATTCTTTCTTTTTAAATAGACAAATCTTGGCTCGACTTACAATTTAATGATATCGATCGAAAAGTCATCAAGAAACCAGATCAGATCGAAATCGACACGAAACATTATGACTCATTAATAAATCCAGATGACATACTGGATCGTATTAAAGGCTCAATGTTTGGTTTGGCCTTGGGTGATGCTCTAGGTGCTCACGTAGAATTTAGACCGCAAAGTTACTTGATTGCTAATCCAGTCACAGATCTTGTAGGAGGAGGGACATGAGGTCTCGAAAAGGGACAGGTATGAAACAACGAAAGTTTTTCTCTGATATGAATATTGCTAGTGGAATTATCAGCACGTGATTGTAGAAAAAGATGACTTGTAAGAATTTTTCAAAGAGTGAAACAAAAGGTTGTTTTAATCTTTCCTACTTAGGTTAAGTAACTGTAAGTTTTTATACCACGGATTGAAGAAATATGTAAAAGTTGTTCGTACGAATGATAGTGAGGGCAAGGACTGATGTTTTTATCAAGACAATCTTTCTATTAGCCTCTGTCGTCAGAATACTTTGATAGGTTCCGTTTGATTTTTGTTTCTAGTTTACCGACGACACGTCTATGGCTCTCTGCTTGGCTAATTCATTGATTGCTTGTGGAGATTTTGTGCCGTACGATCAATTAGTTCGTTACAAGTGGTGGTATCGGCATGGTTATATGTCATCGACTGGGCATTGCTTTGATATAGGTGCGGCTACGAAAAAATCTATTCAAGAATTTGAAAGAAGACAAAGAAAATTTGCCAACGACTGGAATATTTCGTACGAAGAGATAGATTTTATCTCGAGTCCTGATCTTCTTAGCAAGTTTGACGTGAATTGTAGTGGAGAGGGGGTGGCAGGCAACGGTGCTCTTATGCGTCTGGCACCTGTACCACTTTTCTTTTATAGAAATCCTGAAAAAGCTGTCCAATATTCAGGTGACAGTGCTCGAATTACTCATGGAGATGACAAAGCATACGATGCATGTCGCTATTACGGTGCTCTCATTGTCGCTGCACTCCACGGTACATCAAAAGACAAATTGACTAGCAATAGATTTTATGAAAATAATGAACGATGGTTCGGTAATAAGCCACTTCATGCGGACATCTTGAATATTGCTCAAGGTTCATACAAGAAATCTGGTGGTTATGATGAAGGAATTCGAGGTAAAGGCTATGTGGCTAGTGCTCTGGAAGCTGCTTTGTGGGCGTTTTGGAGTGACAATAATTCGTTCGAAGAAGGTGTTCTCAACGCTGTTAATCTAGGTGACGATACTGATACGACAGCAGCTATCTATGGTCAATTGGCTGGTGCTTTCTACGGATATCAGAATCTACCTAATAAATGGCTCAAACGTGTCTATGCCAAGAGTTTCATCAATCATATCAGTAACTGGATTGTTTACGAAGGACATAATTGGTCACTCAATCTGAACACATTAAAAAATGGCGCATTAATGAATTCTTACACTCTTCCGCATAATCGCTCTTCGATTTCGAAGTCAGTTGGCGATATCAGTAGTGATTATGGATCGATGATTAACTTGTCATTTATCGCTATCGAACGCAAGGCGATAGGTCCTTCGGGCTGTCTCGGATATTTGTATGATGGACGGCGGGATTGTATCATACCATCATCGGATATTTCTATCAAAATGAAGGAACATTTCACGTGTTTACCAATTCAATGCTATGTTAAGAGTGGCAACAAGTTTGATTTGCGAAATTTACTTCGAGTCGCCGGTTTCGACAGTGAACTTCGGTTGAGTGTGGCATCGGGTATCGTGGAACCGATAGGCATTGCTTCAGTTGTTCATTATCCGTTTGTCATCGATGAAAACACTCGCGTTTTCTATTATTCCTATTCGGTTCGAAAAGAAGGTTCACTTGACGAGCAATCTGGCCACCGATTAAAACATACACATGACGCTACCCATATTATCGTTGGTATTGATTGGGGTGTTGACGTTATAGCTGTGTTACAATTGCCACCTACTGATTCGAAATCGATGGATAAAGTGTTGAATGAAATATGTGCACTGTTAAATAATGATATGCAGCTACCTGATGATACGGTTTTACTTAGCTGTATTCTATCGACACGTATCTATTCCAATATACCTTCTTTAACGAAACTGAGTTCAATGATCGATTTGTATGAAGCGATACGCCATAGTAAAAAGAATATTCCTGACCATCAACCATGTAATTATATCCTTCATCCTATTACAACACTCTATCCCGATAATAAACAAAATGATTGTAGACTGATTTCACTCGGACCAACACTTACTGAGAGAATTGAAGATAGTTTGCTGCTATTATCAAATGTTGAGAAAATGTGGACAATATTTTGCAAAGACAAAATCTACACTTTACTGGAAAAACACCTGAAAGAACACTTGGACAAGATGCAGAAACAATTCCACCGATTACAAAATCAGTATGATGCAGAAAAAAAACGATGTCAAAATGTAATTCTTAAGATTCGTCAAGGTGGTGATGAACAACTGGCGATCAATCGAAAACTATTGACTGACGATAAACAACAAACTTTGAGACAAAGTATCCATGATTTCATAGATTCTTTGACGACTTTGAAAGAAAAGGGACGTTTGATCAGCTATCTGAAAAACAAAGGTTTCAAATATCGTAATGCAATAGAATTTACTGTGACACAGAACGATGATGATAAGACAATTGAATATAAACTCATGCAACATAATCAACAATTTATTCTTTGTTCGAATGATAATTTAAATGAGAAAAATTCGACCAAATTTAAAGAACTATGTTCACAAATGAGCAAGGATCAAGCGACTAATGCGAATCAGCATCTGCTCTATGTGGATTTCTCCTATTGTGACTACGAATTAGATACGATTAAAATTTTTCCCACGACTAACAACATTAGAAATATCGATAGAAGCACGTCTGTGACAATGAAACAGAGTGAACCACATGATATTGTCTCACTAACATCCAACACTGATCAAACGATTAATATTCTCCTCTTAGGAAAAATAGGAGTTGGTAAATCGACATTCATTAATATGATTGAACATTATTTAAAATGCAGCAATTACGACGAAGTTAAATCTAAAGCATCCATATTTTCTCCGATCATCTCGTTTTTCTATAAAATCAAAAATGATATTGAAGAGCATTTTGCTCAATTCGGAGAACATGATCCGAATGAAGACTACGATCATCCTAGACATTCAGTGACTCAAAATTGTAAATCACATATATTTGATATCGATCATGGTCGAAAGTTAAGAATTATTGATACACCCGGCATCAATAGTGTAGACGGAGAAGTCTCTGATCAAAGAAGTATGGAACGTATACTGTCATGCATTAGTGAACTAACGCATTTGGACGCTATCTGTGTTCTAATTGAGTCAGGAGATCGGGAACTCAATGCTTATGCAGAATGTTTAAAACAAATGCTAAATTTTCTTGGAGAGAATGCCCGTGACAATATCATCTTTTGTTTCACCAAACGTTTTTCTAGTTTGATTATCGGCGATAAAAATAATGCACAAGTTCAAACAATGCTTCAATCGTTGCCAATCAAGATTCCTTTTGCTGACCAGAATACATTTGTCTTTGATAGCAGCTTCTTTCTTTATTTGATTACGGGGCGTTCATCTGATCATCCGAAGGTGTTATATGAAGAGAGTTGGTCAGTTTCAAAAAAATCATGGGATCGTCTTCTGAAATATGCGTGCAAAGATCTCTCACCGTATTCCATTTGCCAAGAATTCAATAAGATTGAATACTTTCGACTGAAAATTATCCGAATGATTCGTCCAATATTGGAATCAATACGAAACATCCTTCGAAATCATATTTTAAATGAGGAGGTAGAGTCGCCTATGTTTGTTGAGCTACGTCCGAAACCTATTTCATGCCCTTCGGCTATGTGTTACTCATGCAAACCTAAATTTTATCGATATGGAAGACTTTCAATCCCATACTATGTAGCACACAAATACATTGATGAATGTTACGATTGTTCATGTAAACCAAATGAACATGTACAAATTGATTATCTACTTGAATACGAGGTAATCGATGGAAAAAACTATAAATTCGACAAGATGGAAAAGTGGAAAAAAGACCTTCTTGACGCAAGTATATACTTTGGTCATTTTCTCAAGCATGTGGATAATCATTCAACTTGTGATCGATTTCTGAACGTTTTAAATGAGATGATCGTTGAAGAAAATAATTTCTATAGCTATTATCACTTGAATGCGTGCTTACACATTCAAATTGAAAAACTCCAACAATATTATCAACGGCGCTTGAAGAAAATGGAAGAAAAAAATAAAGATTATGATCTAGCGGATATCGGTAATTGGATCGCACATATAGAGAGAATTCCCATGGTACACCAACAGATGTTGGCTGCCAAAAACATGTTAGATCCGATCATATAGACGCATAAATCAAACGCATGGACCGGGAACACATTTCACTGATTTATTGAAGACACTTCTCTGTATTTTTTCATAATTTCATTCCAGAAACTTCACAATAAATTCAGAATTAATCACTATTCTAATGCTCATATTTTCACCTCTACATGCAGGACGTACAATAGCTTTGTCTATTGTCATACCATTATGGAATTTTGGAGGTGTGAGTGTGTGGGTATCATTTTCTATCTAAAATAATGTTCGTTTTATTGTAAATAACATGTATAGTCACACCCTGAAGGAATTTTTTTTCTTTTGATTTGTGTAAGAATTCGTGATTTGTTCAATGTAAAATCTTTAACATTTATGAATTCTATTTTAGTTTCAATGTTTATCATTCTTCGATTAAAAGAATACCTTGGAACAAAACAAATGAGTAATGTGTAAACAAAACTGATCTTTTATCAATAATAAAAACAGCAAAGCTTTTCCATTCAATAATAACATAAACTCGCTTATGATTTATATTATTTAATAAGATATTGAGAAAATGAATTCATATTTTCTGATTCTTGAACTTCACTAACAAGTAAAAGTAATTTAACACAATTAAAATCTTTATAGACATCATCAATCCTCATTAAAAAAAAATTTTGATTCAATGTAAAAATTAATAACCTAAAATTACAAACCTCTTCAATGTATTTTTGTTGACAGATGTATTCTTGGTGCATATCTTCTACGTGAATTTCGAATTTTCTCTGGTGTTCATAACAAAAACTTTCTTTAAAATAATTGGATATATATTATAACATGAAATTTAGCTAATTATCGATCGAAACTCTCAGTTTCATACAATGATAAAAAAATTTCGGATATAAATATAAACAAATGTTGTTGATTTCTTTTCAGATAAATGAATAATAAAAATTTATTTTTAATACAAACAATCAAATCGAATTTTGAAATTGTTTCATAACTTGACTGATAACAGCTAAAGTTTCTTCTAATTTATTCGACATTAATTCAGATATCATCTTATTTATTTTAAACATTGATAAAATCCCCTTTTTAATATCCATAAATTAATTTTTGTTCGAAATACGTTTTTTTTTGTTGAGTGTGTGAGAAGTAACGACTTCTTGGTTTTGTATCAAATACAACGACAACGACAGTAAATACTAGAAAAGTTGCTATTACTATGAATTATCGAATCAATATAAAAATAAATGCACTAGAGAGAGTGCTGCAGGGTTTGAGTGTGGAAGTGGGTGTTGGTTTTCTGATTACTCATATTCACATTCACACCCACACCACATCCTCACACCGACACCCACCTGCACCCCACACTCTGATTATCATAAGGTTTTTATGTAACAATTTTGAAATAAATAAAATAAAATGATTGAAGAACTACTTTTCGATTAAAATATTCCATCCTCAAAGGATTAATCTAATTAGTGTCCAGAAATTATGTTTTTTTGCAAAAATTGGATTAATAAGCTCATAATCAAGAATAATATTGATTTGCACTCCGATATTTTCGCCTGAATTTGGCAGTAGTTTCAAAATCAGCGCTTATGTACACTTGACCATTATTATTCGCAATCATTTTCGCAATTATATCAAGCAGAGCTCTTACTGTCGCAGTCTTCTCTGCATTTGTTGCACGACTGTTTACAGCTAAATAGCGATGCCCACGCTGGTCAAGAAGTTTCCTTAACGGATGATCTGGTTTGAAGTGAGTCAAGTGCCCTTCGATTGTGGTGCCATATGCATCAAGCGAATCTCTATTGGTAAAAATAATAATCGTATAATTAATAGATGCTGTATCAAATATTCTCGAAATGGAATTGATCATTTCAAGTTCTTCTACAACCAATCTCATTGTTGGATTAAGAACGAGTAAAAATGCATGTGGCCCTGGTGAGGCTGTCATTAGATATGATTTAGCAATTTCCTCATATAGAACTTTTTGTTCTAAATCGGTATGAAGAAATCCGGGTGTATCAACAACGAAGAGCTTCTTGCCGTCGAATTCTCGTCCAGCAGAAATGCATATGGTTGTCACCGATTTACAGCTGTATATAGCTTTAAATGTCTCCTCGCCAACAATAACATTACCGAATGAGCTTTTGCCTTAAATAAACAAGAAGTCAAAAAGTTTAAAATAATTTCAATCAATTTTTACCTGTACCCGTTTTGCCAAGTAAGATCATGCGTACTTCGTTACGTGCTTCTTTTACTAAGGTGTTTGATTCGGTCAAATGCAGAGAAGTAGAGCCTAATTTTTTTGAAATATAGTTTTTATTTCAATAAAGTTCTTGTCAAATAAAATACAACTTACAATCGGGCGACTGTAAGCAAAACGAAAGGAATAATTTTATCTATCGACACCATTAATAGTCATCCCGAATTCTTCGACTGGTTATTTTTCTGTAGCACTCACAAAGAATAATGAAAGAATACAAAAATCATATGGCATAAGGCGTCTTGGATGAACAGCCTATCAAATGGATATAAAACGCGTGTCAGTTCTAGCTTGGTAATTATTTTCTAGAACTTTCACAATCATCCAAATATTTCTCAAAACGCAAATTGATAGAACATAGTCAGGCTGCTATAAATTTTTCGATCGTAGAAAGCGAAAAAGGAAGCCCAAAAACAAATGTCTTCATTACAAACCTATATTGAATTAAAATGGTTCAATTAGACATGAATGAAGCCATGGTCATTATCTCTTCCTTGACTTTTGTAATATTTCTCGTGTAGCTTGTCCCATCATATCTTCAAGCCGCAAATTTTGTTGTGATAAATGATTTAACAATACTGATGTAAAAAAAACTGTTTCCACTGGTTGTAGAACCACCAGCAAAGGCTACAGTACCAGGATCAGATGAAAATATTAAAACAAATTGTGATTCAACCGATATACGAACATGCGATGTTAACGCTTTACCAAATGCTGGTGTGAAATATTCTTCTTCATCCATCGCTTTCGTTTTCCATGTATCATTGTCTTAATCAGCACGACAGCGTCCAAAATAATAATATTTAAAAGATTATCACCGCAATTATTTAATTATCTTAACATTGTATCCAAACTTATACAATCAAATTCTGGATTGCGCAACGGTTAAATTGGCAATAAATAATTTTTACCCTGAAAAAATGAGCGGGGCAGAAACAGATTGAAATTAGCACATCTGTAATAGACAAAAATATAAATTCAAAATATGGACGAAGCATTGTTCGCTAAATACTCTTCTTTTAGATCAGCAGAAGAGAAAAGGTTTTTTTATGTGCAATTAAGTTAGAAATTACCTTCCTAAACTTCACTCAGAAGTGATAACAGGGGTGTGTGGGTGTGGGGTGTGGGTGGGTGTATGTGTGGTTGTTGCACTCCTCTTTCTAGCCAAAACCCGCACCCACCCACACTCACACTCAACCCGACCGGACCCAATCGAGCTCAACCCAACCCAATCCTAACTTAGACTTCAACTTCATTTCTATATTCTTTTTTAATTAGAAGAGTTTTCTAATATTATCCTTAAAAGCATTCGATTAAATTTCCATGAAATTTCTTCAGCAGTCACTTTATTTGAATTTCCTGGAAATAGGAATTTACCATCGCATGCACATCGCGCTTGAACAAGATTTTTCCTGTTCATGTTTATCTTTATCAAAAGAAAATTTAATGAATTTGCTCTTGTTATAGATCTTCTTCTATGATTTGTATCTATTTTTTTTAATAGACAATGATATATTAAAACAATAAATGTGGTTGTCGGATATGTGTGTATTGGAGTCGTCGCTTCACTCACGCTTACACCGACACCCCTTTAAGGCATGTATTGAAATAGTAAAAAGATCAATTCTTCGATTCAGTTACATATATTGTATTCGCGAATAAATGACAAACAACAGTATAATAGAAAAAAGTTGCTTGATTAAATACCAGAGAATCTACATATTTCAAGGATTATTTTAAGTTAAAGAAATCAATGTATATTGGAGGATTATACACCAATTTTTTCATGAAATGATAAGCTTCTATGTTCAAGGAATTCGAGTGAGAGATCGAAAGGAAAATTTCAAAGATATTTGAATTAAGAGTGCAATAAAACAATATTTATCTTCGGTTTGAGTCTGAAAATTCTTTTTTTTGTGAAGTATTGTTTCTAACTGTTAGGATGAGGTGCAAGGTGAACGTCCTAAGAATAGAAGTTTGTTTCAATCACATTATGTCCAATTCTTCGGCCATGGAGTTTCGTCGATCGCCACTCGTTGGAGTAGAAGAATGATTTCTTCACTCATTCGGAGATACTCATTATTATCATCGGTCATGCTTTGACCAAGATCAAAGCAAATTTCAAGTAATTGAACAAAATATGAATGCATTAATTCATCATCATTTTCAGTCCATTCCATCGATATGAGCGTGGCAGCATATAAATCATCCTGTTCTGCACTGTCAAAAATCAATGACCATTCATCAATTGCATTACACTCTTGCACGGGCGCTGTTTTACATATGAATCGACCAAGTATCATCGGCCATGAAGTAAAAGATTTTGATTTAAGACAATAATGAAGTATTTCGACAAAGACACAAAC